TATTTGCTGTACAAATGTTGAACTAATTATATTTGCTTTTTTCATTACTCTAATAGATACCACTCATCACTTTCAATTGACTCAAATGGCTATAATAACAATTGTAAAGACAATTGGATGCTATATATCAGTACAATTGTTATATTTATAATATTAATGATTTTATCAGTGGTTCCTCTCAATTCTAACCTAGGCATATTTTTAGGCATTTTGATAATTATATTCTTAATTATACCGATTTATACACATTGGAAACGACTTCACGACTTACGAAAAATGAATAGACAATCGATACCTGATATGACCAGACAGTCGCCCAATAACTCAAGTCATAACTCAATGGACACCACCATTAATAATAGACATTCAAATCTGAACTCAACTGAAGTACATCTACCGACTGACGGCTCAATAAATTCAATGAAATCATGCGATGATTTGCCCCCAAAGTACGAACTGCCGCCCAGTTATTCACAAACTATTTACTCCATAGATATATGAATCGTCGCCCGAAAGCAATTGATTGGGACTTTCAATGCATACAAGCCGTACAGAAATGTTTGCCACGAATGCAGCGGTGATTTGTATTGAAATACAAATGTAATAATTGAATGTAAGTGTTGTTTCGCATTGAAATATGAGGTCAAAACTAATAATCGATGGAAAACCTCATTTTGTGTCACATGCGAAGGCATAGTACCAGTTGTTGGTTGGGCTTAACGCTATTGATCGGTCGGAATGACGCCAAATACACGACACTATTCTTGTTAAGCATCACAGGAATCGCTGTTTAACTCATTTCTCCAGACATTTCCAGTGCTGACAAACAAACCATTATTTTGTTATTCATTATTCTTAATTGAGATTTTAGTAAGCAATCGGTTTTGTTAATTGTACCAATATATCAATATATATTACATGTAATTGTAAATATAATTGTAAAATAAGTTATATATGAGTTGTGAAGCACAGGTTGAGGGAGCCGTGCCTTTCACTCTTAATAGTCGGGGCATTACATGGTTAAACATAGTGCCTAAGTAAGTACATCCGCTTATTGTCTAGCATAATAGTTATATATACATTTTTGTTAATTAATTATTTAATTAGTTCTTGGTTAAAATTATTTATTAAAGTTATATTTTTCTACAAAATGCATTGTGTTTAATATAATTGATTACTTGTTTGTTATTAGGTATAATATAAAAATTTTGTGGCTTAAATTAAAAAACAATATTCACTGGTTATTAGGACTCATATTGATTACAGAGTTTGTTCTCTTGATACTATATTTAATGTCTACAACTCAACCGTTTTCTATAATCCTATCAATTATAATATTAGCGGTAATTGTGTTTCTGATACTTTTATTTCAATGTCACAAAGAACTTTGTGACTTCTGTCACAAAGAGTTTCACGGTTTGAACGTAAATGCCTGGCAGAGAGGGGACAGTGAGGCCAACAGTCGGCCGGCCTCCCCATTAGACCAGCCGTTGTATAACATTAACATAAATAGCGAACAGACGGCTAATGGATCGCAAATTGTAACGGACTTCCCGCCGATCTATGAACTGCCGCCCACTTACTCGGAAGCCATCTCTTCATTAGCTTTTATTAGGGAAAATCAAATGAAA